GACATCCCATCTCGACAAGTGTCCAGAGATGGACCATCCCAGAGAGATAACATCAGCACACAGCAGCAAGAGACCCAAACCTCACAAGTGTCTCCTCGTCCTTGCCAAAAACTTGTGCCCCCTAAGAAAATGTTAGACGCAGAGGAACTGACTCAGGAACAGAAGAGGGAGAGGACCAGAGTAGAGACCAGTTATGACAATAAGGAGCAGTCCCAACAGGAAGCGGCTTCTACTCGCCCAAGAACACAAACACCCAGGGTGCAATCAGTTCAGAGAACAATTGAGGACATGATAAGGGGAAATCTTACCTGCCAAACTTCTTCAGCAGAAATGAGAACCGAGCAGGGGGATGCCCAGGGGCATCCAAGTGCTCTTCCCCCCCAGGCGTCGCTGTCTTCAGGAACCCCTCAGCCCAGATGAAGAAGCAAGTCAAGATGTTCTTCAGAGTGTTCCCCAGCAATCATCCCAACAACGTCTGATGGAAGAGCAGAGCAGCACACGTCAGAAGGATGTGACCTCCCAAATATCAGTGCAGGAAAGAAGTCAACAATCAGCTGTAGAGATGGAACAAATCTCAGCTGGGGAAGTCCCCCGTGAACCATTGCGAGAAACTCATCAAAGGCCTTCTGGAGGAAGGAACCAGCAAGTGGAGGTTGAAGAAAGAAGATCAGCATCTGGCCACCTCAGGAATCCCCAGGTGGTCCAGATTTCTGACCAAGAATCCCGTTCTGTCACACTCGGACAGCATCAGAATGACCAACACAGACGTCAATCTCAAGGAGTTGAGCAGCATTCAGTTGTCCAACAGGACCAAGAAGTTGAAGCTCCAGGGCAGGTCATAAGTAGACGTCAAGAACCTCAAATGCCAGTCTACCGACCTCATCAAGAAAAGGAAAGGAATCCCACAACATTAGGACAATGCCAACATGGTCCATCAGAGCAGAGAGCTGTGTCTCAAGAATTGACCAGGCCTCAAGTAGCTGAGAGATACCCACGTGGTGAGCCTGGAGAGATCACAATTGTCCAATTTTCCCAAGGTTCTTCTCCCAGACGCCCATTCCAACCTGCCCAGTTCCAGCTGAAACAGAGGCCATTACAGTTCCCTCCTCCCTGGTCTACAAAGCAGTAAACACTTCCTAGAAAGCCAAGAAATTCTCCACAAAACCATGGAAACACAGATGATCCACCAAGATCAATCCAAGTCACCCAGGACTTGTGGCAGCTTTGGAGAAAACTTTCCTGGGTTTGCTCACCAACTACATCTTACAAAATGTGAGTGGAGAAGCACAGCCTACAGCCAGTTGCAGTAAATGCCATGTGTGAGCTGCATTAAGATTGGTGGATCTCAAGTAGTTTAGATCTTGCTTTGCTTCTTTATGAACAACCAGGATCCTTGCTTCAAACATGTCTACATGCAAGGAATCTTTGAGAAGAATCCTGAGAACTTCGTAGCCATGTTCTCTCTCTCGTCTCTGTCTCCCGATAGGCCCACCTAGCCTTGGTATCACAAGAAGGACCATGTGAAGTTCAGGATGGGTGGTTTATTGGATATAGCCTCCATCTCCAGCTATCTTTTATACCAAATCAATAATACTTATCACCAATCGTTCCATAACGCAATAAAGGATCCAGCTTTGCATTGAGTGAATGTCCCCATGATCCAATGAATATCAGAATTGTATAACAAAATTGTTCATGAAATGGTTGAGTTTCTGTTCATACTATAGATGTTCCAGATCTTCTTAGGTCCATGATCCAATGAATATCAGAATTGTATAACAAAATTGTTCATGAAATGGTTGAGTTTCTGTTCATACTATAGATGTTCCAGATCTTCTTAGGTCTGTGTTTCTCCATTTTGGCTACTTTAAGATGGGTGGACTTCAACTTCCACAAATCCCCAGCCACATGAATGGCTGAAAAGTTCTGGGAGTTGAAGTCCACTCATCTTCAAGTGGTCCAAGTTGAGCCACACTGCCTTAAGATGTCCACCATATTGTACTGTAGAATGAACGGTCCAGCTCAACCGTGTCCCAACCTAAAAGTGTGATGTAGACAATCAACTGTAAAGGGTCAAAAATGCATCGCTAAGCATCAAATGGATTCCTTGTGTATTTTAACCAATCTAAATTGTTCTTTCTAAACTTCTGCTTCTTTCTGTAATACAATAAAAGAATATTTGCAAGCACATGTGGCACGCTTCCTTTTTACGACACAATGATTTTGTGCTTGAAAAGAAGTAGCAATCACCCAAACTGACCCTTTTCAAGATTGGGTTGGCCTTTCAATCATAGACTACAAGGTCAAGATCGAGAAAAACCATCTAACCGTTGTCTGATGGTCTCCACCTATGAAGTAGGACTCTTCCTGAGTTGGTTGACTCAAGAGTCATGTCCTACTCATGAGAATAAATTGTTAAGGTCTATACTTGGGCTTAGAGGACTTCAGGCTGAAGTCTTGGACCCTTGAGACTGAAAATACTTCAGCTGGGAGTTCTGGATTTGCGGGGGGAATGTATCTACTCATGGACTTCTTTGGTTGTCCATCCAAACTTTAGTAAGACTACATGTAAGAGTACTGCATCCAGTTTTGGTCACCACACTATAAAAAAAACTCTAGAAAAAATGCAGAGAAGAGCAACCAAGATGATTAGGGGGCTGGAGGCTAATACCAGGGCTGGGCTGCTGGGGGTTCGGCAGTGTTTGGGAGAACCTCTAGCTAAGATTCCATGCAGTTTGGTGAACCCCCAAATCCCACTCCAGGAGATATTAGATATCACTCCATCCACTGTCCTTCATTTGGATTCAGTTTAATCCAGTCTACATTTTGGCCTAACCCTGTTGGTTTTGTACAATTAAAATGAAATCAAATAGATCAGAGTTGGTTTACTCTCGGCAATGCTGAAGTAGAATCCGCTTTGGTTTGAATCAGAATAGAGCTGGAAGGGGCCTTGGAGGTCTTCTAGTCTGCTCAAGCAGGAGACCCTAGACCCAAGATGGCAAACCTTTTCCAGACCGAGTGCCCAAAATGCTCCCCAAACCCCAAAATGCAATGCACGCACAGCCACTGCATATGCACCCCACTCCTCTGCATGCAACCCCCAGCACACACCCCACGGATGCGCACGCAGCCTCCCACACATGCCCCACTCCCCGGGCATGTGCGGCAGAGACCCAACGACCAGCTGGCTGGCGGGAGGTGCATGTGCATGCACAGTGGAGCTGAATTGGGGTGACGGCTTGTGTGCCCACAGAGAGGGCGCTGCGTGTCACCTGTGGCATACGTGCTATATGTTCACCATCACGGCCCTAGACCATTTCAGACAAGTGACTGTCCGGTCTCTTCTTAAAATCCTCCAGTGATGGAGCACCCATAACTTCTGAAGACAACTTCTGTCCTACTGGTTAATTGTTCTCACAATCAGGAAGTTTCTCCTTAATTCCAGATTGCTTCTCTCATTGATTAGTTTCCATCCGTTGCTTCTTGTCTTCCTTCAGATGCTTTGGAGAATAGATTGACCCCCGTCTTCTTTGTGGTAGCCCCCGAAATACTGGAACACTACTATCATGTTCCCCTTCTTTTCTCTAGACTGGCCAAACCCAGATCCTGCAGCCGTTCTTCATATGTTTTAGTCTCTAGGCCTTTAATCATCAGTGGCTCAGTGGCTAAGATGCTGAGCTTGACGTTCAAAAGGTCGGCAGTTCAGTGGTTCGAATCCCTAGTGCCGCGTAACGGAGAGAGCTCCCATTCCTTGTCCCAGCTTCTGCCAACCTAACAGTTCGAAAGCAGGTAAAAAATGCAAGAAGAAAAATAGGGACCACCTTTGGTGGGAAGGGAACAGCATTCCGTGTGCCTTTGACGTTGAATCATGGCGGCTACATGACCACGGAGACGTTTTCGGACAGCGCTGGCTCTATGGCTTTGAAACAGAGATGAACACCGCCCCCTAGAGTCGGGAATAACTAGTACATATGTGCGAGGCGAACCTTTACCTTTACCTATAAACTCAGAACAGTTACATGGCTTTAGTTAGAGAAACAACATCTGATGATCTTCGTGCACCATCTTGTGGTCAATGAATAGGTAGCAGATTATTTTAACAAAATATATTAGGCATGGGATGTTTTTAGAGCTGTGTTTCTCAGCCATGGCAACTTGAAGGCATGTGGACTTCAACTCCCGGAATTTCCCAGCCCGTGCTAGCTGGGGAATTCTGGGAGTTGATGTCCATGCATCTTCAAGTTGTCAATCCTTGCTTTAGAGAATGTTGTTCTCCATGCTTGGAGGATACAGAATCACAGAGTTGGAAGGGATCTTGGAGCAGAGGTGGGTTTCAACAGGTTCTGACCAGTTCTAGAGAACCGGTAGCAGAAATTTTGAGTAGTTCAGAGAACCGGTAAATACCACCTCTGACTGGCCCCGCCCCCATCTATTCTCTGCCTCCCGAATCGCAATTGATCGGGAAGAAATGGGGATTTTGCAATAACCTTCTCCTGGAGTGGGGTGGGAATGGAGTTTTTACAGTATCCTTCCCCTGTCACAGCCACCAAGCCACACCCACCAAGCCATGCCATGCCCACCAAGCCACACCCACCAAGCCATGCCACGCCCACCAAGCCACACCCACAGAACCAGTAGTAAAAAAATTTGGAACCCACCCCTGCCTTGGAGGTCTTCTAATCCAACCCCCTGCTCAAGGAGGAGACTCTATCCCAATTCAGACAAATGATTGTCCAAACTCTTAAAAACTTCCAGTGTTGGAGCATTCACAACTTCTGGAGGGAAGCTGTTCCACTAATTAATTGTTCTCACTATCGGGAAATTTTTCCTTGGTTCTAGGTTGGTTCTCTCCTTCATAAGTTTCCAACTGTTATTTTCTTCTGCCTCTAGTGTAGAATTTCCATCATTTTCTACAAGATGGATTGTGTCTTCACCTATTTCTAACCCCAAAGTGTCCACCCGAGAACTAAAAGTCAACCCAAAACACAAACAACATGGACTTTGTTTAGAAGAAACTGCTCTTTATTTATCTTGTTTCATTTCCATCACCACGTAGCCCACCCAAAAACCCACGAATCCACCAAGTTTACCCTAAATCCAAAGTTAGAGAAAAATCAGAGAAGAAAGGGGAAGGGGAAAACAGAGAACTGTTGGTGTTCAACAATCCGATGGAGTTGACAGTCGTCTGATCAACGGTGAACACCTTCGTTTTGTACGTTCAGCATCAAGGAAGAACCAGGCTGGTTTCCGTTAGTCCACCTTGAGGAATGCTCTTGATGGATGTCTTCAATTTATTCTTCATTATGGTTCCTTCAACGTTAGTTGAATGGCTAGGATAGTTGGGGAAAATATAGTTACGTTATTGACTATAGTAAGGCTACAACTATGAAGAAACCGGTTGGTTTCTTGGTCAAAGATTCCAAAAGAAGGCCCAGGAACCCAGAGCCACTCCAGATATTGATCAAATGACAGTTCCCAGCAACTCTCGTCTTAGAGAAGATGGACCAGAACTACTGGGAGATGTAATTTCTCAAGGTCTGGAGAACTATTAGTTACCCAACTGCTGCTTACTTTGGCTTCAACCTTTGTTTCCTAGCCCTTCGTGTTTGGCATAAGGCTACGGGGCTCAGATCTTCTGAGTTCAGGAGCTCTGCGTCTGGAAATCTGCTGTGGGCTGCTGGGATCAAGCTCTCTCCGACCAGCCTCAGAAGGACTTGCCATGTCTCGTCCTGTACGTCTCATTCGGGCATCTCCTTCTGGAAGTCTCTCCCTTTCACCATATCTGGAGGCACTTCCTTGAGGCCTTCTCCGATCTTCACCTCTGGTTTCACCTTCAAGGGACATGGCATGTCTTCCATCTCTCTCCCTGTCCCGGGATTCATGTTCATAATGTTGTCCTTCCTGGTTGTCTTCTCTCTCAACTAATTCACGAGGTTGGAGCCTTCTCCTCCGTTCAGCATCTCTTTCTTGGGACCGAACTTCATAGTTACGGGGTCTCCTCAGATCATCTCTCCTTGGTTCTTCATAACTTTGAGATCTATCATACTTGGGGTCCCTGGGTTCAGGTTCTTGGGATTGGGGTCTCATGCTTTCTGTTGCACGGGTTTCCTCCCGGCTGAACTCCCGCCTTCTCCGCTCTACGTCCTCAGGACGTTGGGATCTTCTGACTTCTTCTCTGCCTTCAGACTCATGAGATCGGGAAGGTCTGTCCATGTTCTCAAGCTCAGAAGAATAGGGCCTCCTCCTCCTCTCTTGTTCCCTGCGTTCCAGATCTTCCACTTCTGGTCTTCTGGAAGCTTCACGTGGTTGTGGTCTGCTCCACTCATCTTCATCACGTCTCCTTTCAGATCTTCTGACTTCTTCCTCTTCTGCCCGGATTGCTCTACGGACATCTTCTCTCGATTGAAAGACAGAGCGTCCTTGACTCCTCCTCTCACTCTCTCTGTGGTCAGCTTCTTGGAACTGTGATCTTCTCTCACCTTCTCTGGACAATGGGCGAAGCTCCTCATATTCTTCTACTGGGCTACGGTGACGAATACGATCTTGGCGCTCATCAGCCACACGGGGTTCAAAGGCACGAGACCTCCGCTCACTGTGCATTTCCAGCTCCCTCCTACCATCTTCCCCTTCTCGCCGTTCACGAGACGGACGACTTCTTTCAACATCGTAATCTGCACGATCCACTCGGGCTTGAGAACCATGTCTGAAGTGTCTTCCTTCAGTCTCTTGGCCCCGGCGTTTCCTCCCATCTTCCCTCCTGGATATGACTATTGGAGAATAGAGGTCTTCTTCATCCCTGTCCAGGAGACCTCGAGCTTCACGTCTGTCATTGTCATTTCTTCTCACAAGTTCTCGGGATTGGCGTGGAGAGTCTTCTTCCAGTGCTGATTCCCGTTGTCTCCGTTGACGGGGTTCTGGTATCTCAATATCCTCCCACTCTTCGGGCTCAAGGCGTCGTTGTTCAGGTTCTCTTTCCTGATGTTCCTGAGATGGACGGTCTCTCCTATCACCATCTCTCAACTTACGATCATGTCCTTCAAAGTGGCGGTCTACTTCTTCTCGAAGTTCACTGGAAAGTTCTCCTCGTCTGCCTTCTTCCATGGATTGAAGGGGGATCCGATCGGCACCTCGTCTCTCACGGACATCGTCTCTTCTCCTCTCCTTCTCCAGGAATTCCCGGAAGTTGCTTTCATTCCCACGTGGTTCCTCGTCACGCACAGCTCTCCTGCTTTCCTCACTGTATGAAAGACACTCCTGGAGATGCCAGACACTATAGCAAGCGGTGGCCATTTCGAAGATGAGGAAGAGGAACTCATTGAAGTCAACGCGATTATCTCCATTCACGTCCAGCAGTTGGAAGGTCAGCTTGACAATTTGAGGATCACGAGGGTTCTGGGGGGGAAAAAAACCCAGAAAGATTTTACTTTCAAGACTGGACAACTCTTTCCCACCCAACCTCTAAAGTTTCAAACTAGCCTTCAAACGTTTCGGTAGAACCTCCTTACCTCTAGAATGTCACCAAACTCTTTTTGGATGAGTCTTTTCATTTGCCTTCGCTTCATGGAAGAACGCTCACTCTTCCTGTCGGCATACTTCTGAAAGACGGCGATGATGGTGCAGATACTGTCCACGAGACCAGCCATGTCAGAAACTTTGTCTGCAGAAACAAGGGAAAGAAAATTTGCACCTGTTTTGACCTAGGCGTTCCCAAACCATGAAGCAGACTTCTTATCCCGACAAAAATCCCTTTTTATTAAGTTACTGTGAATTCCTCTCATTCACATTCAGCAAAGTCTTTCAAGGGTGAATTTACACAGACCTTATCTGGCTTGGAGAGCTACCAGGCCGATATCTTCAAAACTTGGCAAGGAGTGTCCGAGAGTCACGAACCAATTAAGCAAACTAACTGCCTCCTGCAAACTCCACTCCCCTTTTGCTCCTCTTTTATTCCCTCTGGGAGGAGCCATTCATCGTCCACCTGTGGCCTTACTCCCATGTTGACCCTTGTTCCTTAGCTGTTCCCTTCGTCTAGCAACTCTGTGCATGCGCACACTGGGAACAGGCTTCAGCTCTTCGTCTGCCTCACTGATGTCTGCCTCCAAAGGCAGCTGATAACTGTCATGCTACCCTGGCCGCCTCTCTGCCTCCAACGCAGAGTCCTCATCAGAGCCTTCCCCAGGCTCAAGGACTGGGCCCAGGTTCCTCCCCAACCTCCTCACTGTCCGAATCTTCTACCAGCTCCGCTGGCCTCTGGCGGACCACAACAACACCCATATTTGAGTCCCAGGATAGGCTAACCTCCTTTCACTCACCAACGCAAAGTCTCCATCCTCCCTGCCTTTTTCCTTCTCCCCCTTTGCTAAGCTACATTGCCCCAAAATATGACTCCTCAATCTTTTTAATCAACCCAACTTCTCCTCTTTCCAGCTTGGTCCTGCGCTTTCTAAATTTCTCAGCAATCTCCCAAGTTTAATTTTCTTTCCCGACGTAGCAACGTAGTTTTCAACTCACCCAGCTCAGTACATTCAACGGTTGGAAGTCTTCAGGGAACTGTTGGAGAATAGTAGGTATGTGATTCCTTTTTATATATTTCTTAAGATGCTGACACCCTGCTTGGATGATAGATAAATTTATGTCCAGCCCAGCCCGGTTTGCAACACCTCGCCTCTTTCAAGCAGGTTGTTAATCCTTGTATTTCAACTTACCCCCTTATAGCTGTCTTTTTTTAAATAAACATACCAAAATAACATCAGTTTCCAGGGAATAACCGGAATTCTATCTTTTCTGGGTTAGATCTCCGATTAAATATTACGTGGGTGGGAAGAAACCCGTACTGGTTAATGAGAAGAGTTTTTTAACAAGAGACTGGACAGCCCCTTGTCTGGAATGGGATAGGGTCTCCTGCTTGAGCAGAGGGCTGGACTAGAAGGCCTCCAAAGTCCCTCCAAAATCTATTTTGTAACAGCTGATTTATAACCACTCGTTTAGTGACCTTTCGAAGTTATAACAGCACTGAAGAAAGCAACTGGTCCTCATGAATTTTGCAGCATTTCCCCAGTCACGTGACAAAAATTCAGAAACTTGGCAACCAGTATGTATGTGTAAGGTTGCGGTATCCCCAGGTTGTGTGATCTCAGGTTTGTGAGTTGCAAAGCAAAATCAGTGTGGAAACCGAATTCATTTCACTATGATTTGCTGAGCTATGATAAAAGTCGTACAATGGGGCACGCGTCACTTCACCGTTCTGCTCAGTGACCGGAATTCTGGCTCCAATCATTGTCATAAGTCAACTCTAACTTTCAGAAACTTTGGGGAATATAAATTAGGTCCACTTTTGTTCAAATAATGATTAAGAGAAGGAGCACGGAATAGCAACCAAGCTGGAAGCATGAAGGGTTTTTTTTTCATAGATCTGGAGCAAGTGTCAAATTTTGTATCTTGTATGCAAACCAGGCTTCAATTCCAGTGGTAGTATTCAGCTGGTTCAGACCAGTTCGGGTGAATCGGTAGTGGCAACTCACCCCGGCGCTATGCTGTCCTATTAGCCGTGTTTTCTAAGCTGTGCGCATGCATGCAAGCCGTGCAGACGAGCAAAGTGCTTTTGCAGAAGGCACACATCAGTAGTGGATTGCCCCCGGTTCGCACCGGTTCTATAGAACCAGTAGTAAAACCGACGGGAGGCTCCGCCCACCGACCCCGACGTCATGAAAACGCTTCTGCGCTTGCGGAGAAGATCGTGCGCGGCCCCGCTGCAAACCGCTAGTAAAGGTAAGTAAAATCCACCCCGGCACACATGCGTGGAAGGTGTGCATGTGTGGAAGGCGCGCACATGAGCGAAGCATGTGCGCACGCTCACATTTTCTGTGTGCGGTGAACCGGTGGTAAAATTATGTGAAATCTGTTCAATTCCCCATTCTTTCCTTCTTTAGGATACAACATATTTTCCTTCCCCAGGTGTTGCTTGGAGTAATACTTATTCGAGATCCCCGTAGCAACTCAGACTTGATGGCTACTCGAAACTCCATGGTAGAACAAGTCTTTGACTAATCATTCCTGCTTTTCAAAAGGTGGGGGACTTTTTTTTAGAGCAAATCTTTTTTAAGATAAATAACACCGTGAGCGAATGACAGCCCGCACCCTTGGGGTAATAATACTAATTTTAGGGCCGTCGTTTCCTTCTGGGATGAAGTTCTTCAGAAGGAGAGGAAGGGAGCACCTCACGTATTTATCGTTCTGAATAAATCAAGGATGCGATCCAGGGGTCAGCAATCCGCAGCTCTGGAGCCACATGTAGCTCTTTCACCCCTCTGCTGCGGCTCCCTATCACTCAAAATATGCGTCACAACTGCCAATGTGTGACACCCACCGGCACACAATTTATTGAGTTTTTCGACCCCCGGTAGGCCAACCATGGATAAATCCAAGAAAAGAAAAGTTTCAGAAGAAAACAGAACATTTAATTCAACTACATATGCTAGTTCTGTGACCACTCAGGAAATAGTCAGGCACGGGAAGGGTTTTGTGGCTCCCGGTGTTTTCTTTTCTGTGGGAAACGGGTCCAAATGGGTCTTTGAGTGTTTAAGGCTGCAGAGCCCTGGTCTAAACTAAAGCATGGAAGCTCAGAGGTTCAGAGAAACATTGCATTCGTCCTGCATTGAAATTCCGTTTTCTAAAAAGATCTGGGGATTTGGGAGAAATGAGTAAGGACGGTTAACTTCCTAGCTTCTCTCAGAATGGCAGATCATGAAGAGCAACTGTGAGGGACGCTTTTGTTGGAAAGGGCTTTGCTATAAAAATAAGTGGTGGGGAAAAAGTGGGTTACTTGGAACCCTGACATTCAGCTTGAGTAATCTTTCCACCTTCTAATAGCTGGGGCCAAGCTTCATTTGTACAACTGTCCTATGTTTCTTAGCTCCTCAAACCCTACCAGATCCAAAACATCAAAGTTGGCATGTTGACATTCAAAGCAGTGGGACTCCACATTTTTCAGGTTCCACCAAATTCCAGTTCCCAGAAGCCACCACTGGATAAGCATGCTGGGAGTTGGGGTGAAGAAACATCCAGAAGGCTTTTAACCATCATCATGGGCTTTGGGGGTCAACAGTTATCCTTGCAAACGCAACCCCCCCAAATCTTCCAAGTCAAAAGTTCAACCAACTGTTGGCCTCTTGAAGGGAGGTTCTCCAGACAAGATCCATCATCCATGCTTAGCCATACCTTGAAGCTTTTGGGGGGGGAAGGTCTTGAAACCTTGAGAAAGCATCAGATGACCATGTTATACTGGCACCGAGTCACAGCCTGCTGTTTCATTGAAATATCTTCCTGAAATCACAACCTAGAGCCGATTGTGCTCATAAAGGTGATGTTGGTGAATACAAGCTTGGGTGTGCTACAGGTTGGAGAAACAACTAAAGGAAGAGAGGTTCATTTTGACTTCTTACAAGGACAGAGAAGTTGCCCCAATTCAATTCAGCAAGAAAAATGATCTGATGGTCTTGATCTTCTCATGGGAATCATCAAACCAGGTCTCTTTTGGGCCCAAGAGTTTGATTCAAAAGCTGGAGCTTGCAGCCCACCAGAGTTGCTGCATTCTCCATTTGGAGAAGACACCCATTTAAATTTAACCACTAGATGAGTTAAGGTATCATTATCCGAGGTGTAATTACCCCAGCCGCTAAAACAAGCGGCTACAGGACAAAAATTACTCACATCCTTTTCTGCAGGGAACGAAAAATAACAAGGAGGTGACCTCGACAGGTTGAACAAACAAGGCAGGGACCCTTAAAATAAAGTGATAAATGGTGTAGGGTAAGGACCAGAGAACTTTGAAGGAATAAAACAAAAGGAATATTTCTGAAAATAGTCACAGTGTTGACCCGCCTTGCTCAAAACATTTGTAGTTGGGCAAACAAGGTTGCCCTCAAAGTTCTTGAGAACTTTTCAGCCCTCTAAAAAAAAATGCCCCCTTCTTTTGGGGATCCATCTGTGGAGGACGTATTCCACCACTGAGCACATCCAACTGATTAAGGTGGGGGAACGCACTGTACAACGTACCTCATAACTATAATTTTTATTGCACATTTTCCCATATCTTCTCTTATCACTATTACTTCACCATAACTGTTAGGGTTGTGCCAAGCTTGGATTCAAAACTCGACCTGGTCCCAAACATTTTCTTGCCCCAAACTGTCTCCAAACCTACTGGTTGAGGAATTCTGGGAGTTGAAATCCACTTACCTTAAGGTTGCTAAGGTTAAGGTTAATTTTAAAAATTGGAAAGGGAGGGGACAATCACATAAGCTTGGGCTCCTGGAGAACATTCGTACCCCTCAAACTTGGTTCTGTTTCTCCTTGTAGGTTTTTTGCAAGAAAAATAAGAAGTTGAAGCCTGGGAAGATAAATCTGTCCTTCACCAAGGCCATTTGTTTGACTCCCTCCATTAGTGACAGAAGTTTCTTGAGGTTCTCCTGCTTGGTGATGACAGAGAATTGGACCTCACCCATTCTTGGCCTACAAGATCTATCATTCTGGGATATATTGCTTCCCAACCTGGAGGAAAGCTAATGAATAGAGCTAAAAGCCGTTGATTGATAGGTCTCTTCTGGACCATAATCCGTGGAATTCTGCACCAGATCAAACCATAAATCCTGATGTTGTCACAAGACCTTGTGTTCTTCTGCCCAAGCTTAAACTCCCTTCCTTCTGGAAACCAACCTTAGTTTTTGAACTTAAGACGAATTAAGAAACCTGCATGTGCTATGGAACTCATCTCTTCCAACCCTCACATTGTATGATGTCCAGATAAAACCAGACATGGACACCTCAGAAGCTGGGAGACGTTGATGATCACCCTACAAGGTATGGAAGGCACGGTTCTTTCCTTCTTTAAAATTGCAGGAAGACAGCAAATGCTATTTTAGGCTTCCATTTTGGGGAACATGACAACGACGAGGTGGAAATACAAGTCGCCGAGCAATTTGTTCAGAAGACACAGAGGTGGAACGAGCCGGGGCTGAAGATGAATCAGATCATCCACTGAAGAGGGTGTCGCCTTGCATTGTACAATTAGCCAACCTATAAAAGAGGTTCGGTTTCCTGGCACTTCCACACTTTTGTTTCTTGAGGCTGCTCACCTGATTTTGCTGAGCTGGGTGAGTTGAAAACTTGGAGGGGGGGGCATCAAGACAGGAGAAGATGGGGACAGTTAAGCAGTCCCTTAGAGGTTCTTGAAAGGGATGACACCCTAGAAAGATAGAGGTCCTTCTTCATTGTCTCTTTTTCCTGTCTTTGCAGAAAGGGACTTCAAGATGAGCTACTTTCTGGACAGTGTCTGTACCATCGTCGGAATCTTTCACAAGTATGCCCGATGCCAGGATGGCAACCTCGCTCTCAACCGGAGAGAAATGAAGATGCTTATCCAGAAAGAGTTTGCTGAAGTCTTGGAGGTGAGCACCAACTGTGGGGGATGAGGGACAACATTGGGCAATGCCCACTGTTGGGTAAGCCAACCACTCAGCAATCCTATTGGTCAGGACAACCTATCTTAGGAT